GTTGGCCTAAGCGAGGATACACGCTCCGGGGCTGTTAGCTGGCATGTCAAAGGAGCATAAGCCGGGGGGGTTATAGTCTATTCTTCTCTCTTTATATCTGTTAAATACTAGAAAAGTTTTAAATTAGTGTAAAGGATACTAAAAATGAATTTTTTAATTGGCAAAGTGGTGGGTTTAAATTGCGTGAATGGACTAGAAATATTATACAGATATCTGTGCCCTTAAATTAAGAATAAGAATATAATAATGTTATAATTCTTATGTCCTAAAAGAATCTAGCAACCCCTGAACCCAGTCTGGGGAATGACCCCGGGACTCAGACTTCCATTGAGTCCTATGCCCAGCCATTTATAAAGGATGCTGTCACCTGATCCCACCGGACAGGTAGCTGGGTCTTGCGATCAGAATCACAAGGTTCACTGAAGATAGGTACTGCCACATTGGCCTTGGGTGAACCTCTCATGTGAGATAGGGACAGACGGTCTAGACGGCCAGAGAGCTGGGGCTTTGTGGGGCTAACACAATAGTTTGTCTAAGTGCAGCTATACCCACTACTCCTTTGGACGCATGTCAGAACTCAGCCCGGACTCTGCTCTCACTGTACCAAACACCTCCTAGGAGACAGGTGGTGGGGGTTGGGGTGCAATCATTGCCTTCACTTATCTCTGCCTGTTGGGGGTGTGTGAAGGGTCCCCACTGCCCACCCTCTGGGCTTGGTGCGAGAGACTGACCCATACACTATACCCCAGGAGAGGCCGAGCAGGAGGGCCAGGGAGGAAGAGGACTGACTTCAGAGTCACAGGCCCAGCATTGAGATTCTATTCGTGGGAAAGGGTGGAGGCATCTGCTGGGACCTATTCTGCAGATATTGGAGGACCAAGGAAGTTTCCTCACTTAGGAGAAGAAGTCAGGATGCCTGGCCTAGAGGTTGAGTGGGAAAAGATGGGGGGATTGCTTTGTGGTCTCAAAGCACAGCTTGCAGCAGAGGCCAGGGAAGGCCCAGCGGGCCTGTCTCGCACCAGGTTGGGGGGCCGTTGCCACAGGGAGGGCTCATTGCTGCTGGGCTAGGAGTGTTGGCCTGGATCCAAGTGTTGCCCACAGACCCACGTGCGGGCCTGGGAACCGCGTGCTTCCAGATAGGAAACAGCCCGGAAAGCAACGCTGCCACCTGTGGTGGCTGCTTTATACTGAAGCTCTGTGGTGCTGGGGTTTTTTGAATCAGACACTTTTCAGTGTCTAAGGAACAGTCAGTAAAGTGCATTAAAGGGGCCAAATTTCTGCTAATTGCCTTAGTAATTTGTTAAACATGGCTCTGGTGTTAGACACTTCGCATTTATCTCAGTCAATGTGTTCGTATTGATGAGAAAAACCCACTATGAACCCTGTGTTGGTATACTGTAGTCACCATATTTTCAAACAAGGGACTTGTTTCCCCCATGGGGCTGGCAGTATGACTGCAGACGGCTCTGGAGGCCCTGTAAGTGTGAGGCTCCTTTGCGGGTGCATTGGGACCTTAATGTCACAGGAATTGATGCGTCAGACCCTGTCATAAAGGAGAGTGTTTGCATTGCATTTGCTGAGTCCGCGTCATGAAATAATTTAGCTCATTAACCAAAGAATAAATAAGATCCTTGTTTATTCCTCAATATAATACATATACATGACTGTTATACATCTTTATAAAGCAAAGAAGTACAGCTGATGAAACTACGTTCAGAAATAAAAAATATACACGATGTATGCAATCACCACATTATGAAACACTTTTTATTTCTTAACTACACTAATAAACCTCATCAGAAGGAATCACCGACGTCCCTCAGCTGAGATGAAGCAAACGCCTTAGTCAACACATGCCTCTCAAGGAGCGGACGCGTTCTGCTTTCTTGACTGGGTAATGGTAGTTGAATTTTAAGCCTTCATGGAAGGTGAAACTGCCCATGGAAAGACCACCTACGTGACACACGCCCCACTAAAATGGAGCGAGGAGAGACGCAGAGCACTTATAGTCTGAGAAACTGCCAACTCCCAGCTATGCAAGCAGGCCATCTTAATCCCAGAACCCAACATCTAATAAGTCCAGCATCGACTTTCCTTTAGCACAGAAAGTAATTTGGTAATAAAATTTTTATCTCAAAAAGGCTTTAGAGGAGCATTATGATGGATAAGAAGATGGACTTTGATTCTAACTTAACAGAGGGGGAAGAAGTGAAAAAATTAAAAAGAGCAAAAGCAAAGTGGGAGCTTCATGGACATTGAGAAGCGAACCTCAGCGATATCGCGGCTCATATGGCTGACAGAATGGCCAGGGGACAGAGAGTGGAACTGAGCCTGCTGGCCACAACTCACGTGGGGCTCCGCCGCTCCCCCCACTTCCACCTTGGCGAGCGGGTTTTCTAGACAAGGGCCCATCCGTTGGCCTCGGTGCAGAGCAACCAAGCACGCGCCTGCACACTGGCGCCCCTGCCTGACGGCTGGGACGGGGCAGAAGGAGCCGAAGGGACAGAAAAGGGATGAAATACCGCAGGCTTCTCAGTTCCCTAGTACCAAATCCATACTTTGATTCCAGAATGAGAAAAAAAGTTGCTATACTAATTTCCACAAAATGGACGAAAATGTAAGTATTCACACGTCTTTCCAAACATATGCACATCAAGCACGACAATGTGGCAGCATGCCTATTTACATTGTTGAGTGAAGAAAGCAAATTAATATCAAATCAGACAAAAAACAACTAAAAACAAACCTACGGTACTCAACAGATGGGAGTGCTAACCAATTTCAACCTCAAAACCGTTTCCCCAGGTTCAGGTTCAAGTGAGAACCCCTCCCAAAGGCTTTTACATAACACGCAGGAGCAGGAGCTCTCTTGTCCCTGATGTTTAAATAGTAACAGATTCTGGGTAAGTGTTGGTGTCTTCCAAATTACGAATGTGGGCATGCTTCGTCCTTAATAATTGGTGAGGTTTATTCCTTTCTAGGCAGCGGTAAGTGCCGCACTGGTGCTCAGTTTCCTCCATTTGCTAAAAAAACGGGAACTGCCTAGCAAGTGAGCGAAGCCAGGTGGGAGGGTGGAGGAGAAACACAGCCTCTCAAATGCTGATGACTTCTTGGAAAACTGATCACAGTAGGCTGCGTCTAGCCAGACTCAGCTTCTCTGGGTCTGTGCTCCCCTCTGCTTTGTTTCCTTGGCTTTGCAAAGCCCCTTTTCCATTAGAGCGGCCGTCACCGGGTTCCCGGCTCACTCTGGAGCAGCAACACGTGGGCGTGGGGCAGGGGACAGGATGATCAGCTAGGCTGACAATCTCTCATTTCATGTAACTCTAGACTGTAATCATCAGCTCTGTAATGGGAACTGTCCTCAGCTCTCATATAAAAGGCACCCTGCTAGCATGGAGACATCTTCCCACCCAAACGTGGAAATTTAACTACAGATTCAAACAAGATCCATCTTTAAAGTAGAGTCTCCTTTCTAAACCTCAAAACAAAAAATAATCACACCCACTAACTGCAGGGTCATCAGTGAATTAATCTGGCAAAGACATCCTGCCTAAGTTTGGCCTAAGCTGTCTCTTCCATCTGTGGCAGGGCCTGGGGAAAGCTATCTGCCGACGGGAGTTACCGAGGCTGGATGTGGGCGCAGGACTGCTCGGCCTGGCAGGGAACCCACGCCGCAGGACGCGGAACGCCCTTCCAGGAGGGCTTTCAAATCAGACCCTTGTGCCTATCTAGCATTTGAGTGAATGCCAGCTCTCCGTGGTCTAAGTAAGTGTTAATGCACACACTGGCTTGCATGTTTCCTGAGCCAATGAGTAGCATCACCTAAAGATAGCCCAGTAATAGGACACTTCAGTCACGGCGCTTTGTGTGTGTGTGTGTGCTTCGTCTCTGTTTTTATAAGGAAACTAAATTAAACATTTTAAGCATAGTCATATAACGGGAACATGAGAAATCAACCTTGGGTAAATGCACAGGCCAAAGGTAAAAAAGAAACGCAACATAATGTGAGAGCAAAGAAGAAAGGAGTCAGTTTTACAGCTAGCACGACCACGAAATTGGCATGTGGCCTTCACCAAATGACACATTTCCTTCTGTCTCGACTCCCCCTTCGCTTCAGTGCGCCGTAAGGACGGCGCGCGCAGTTGCTCGCAGGCGCCACCGGGCTCCTCGGATGGAGGAGGAGTGGAGAGAAGCTGAGGCGGGTTCAGCGTGCCCTCACTGCCACAGCCACCAGCCGACCCGTCCTCATTACCTTCCACTGCCATTGTGACAACAGTAGCCTAGAATCATCTATGGCTAAAAATAAAAGCATTAATGCAGTTGATCTCAATGCAACAGTTATTTGGAAATGGAAAACGTGAAGGAGGTTTGCAAAGCCGAGTGTGGTGCGCGGCGGCGGTGTGTACGGAGAGCTCTGTGGGCCTTCGCCTGGTCTCTTCTCCATGCAGAAAGGACACACAGGTTTGGCTCTTGAAGCCAGTGCCTTTTGGGCCCCATATGCCATCTACAGTGGGGTACACAGGCTCAGGAATAGGAAGCTTCCAATGGGACATTCTCATGCCCAACGGGCAAGCTGACCAGAGTCCCGGCCACCTTTGGTTTCTGACTGCTGTTTCTTCACAACACTGCATCACTGAGATTCTTGGTCTTCGTGAATGTTCGAGTTTACCTGGAAACTTGAGTGCTGTTTCCCCGAGTCCCTTCAAGGCTGGAAGCCAGGCACTCACCGCCCTCTCCCAGGGGCACAGCTGCCTGCCTGCTCGCTGGCGGCTAGGGCTTCGGGAGCCTCTCCTGACTGCTGGCATCCTTCCAAAGGCCGTAATTGTAAAGACTAACCATAAACAGATACCTTTTGTACCACTTCTCAAAGCCAGTGTGTTTCATGGGGACAAACTGTCAGTCAGAAGGGAGCAGGGAGTACAAATTCGAGAAGGGAATCAGCTACTTGGAAGAAAATGCTGCACTTGGGGGGCAGCTCAGAATAAATGGAAGACACAATGTTTGGTGCCTCTTGCTCAGAATTCATAGAAGCCTTATGTTCCACCCAGCAAAGTAGTTATCCATTGAATTCACCTGATTTTAGACCAAATCAAAATCATGAAGTCTGACAAACTAAATGTTCAAGGCTGTACCAGACTTAGAATTGTTTTGGTAACATAGAACCCCTTCAAAAGGTATAGTTTAGTGACCAGAGCTGTTTTCTCCCTCTGAATGCATCCTCCAGGTTTTAAAACCGCCAATAAATCTCACACATGACTGCTGTAGTAATCTGAGAAATAGCAGGTATAACACACTTCCTGCCCCAGTGACTAAGACCAAAAAATAAAAAATAAAAATGGAAAACTCAAGATGGCAGGAAAACATCTTCCCAATATGCACTCCCACGGGGTGGGGGGATGCGTGTGGCGTGAGGTGCTCTGAGTTCAAGTTCGAGGACTCCCGCGCTACAGCCGCCAGTCATCACAGGGGTCAAGGCATCAGAACTGCTGATTTTTCCAAAAATTTTCTCAAACTAGCAGCAACCACAGCAGTTTTCCTGCAAAGCAAACAAAATATGAATCTTGTTAATTCAGCAGGGCTTTTAAAATTATAATTAGCTGGTTGTGCCCCTTAGGAAAACCACAGATGATTTTTTTATAAAGTATGTGTGTATGTGAGAGAAGAAAAAAGAAACTTCTTGACAGATTCCACTGCTCACCATAGTTGGGTTTTTTAGTTTATGCGAGACATTTCAGTGCTGTTTGCAATATCGAAGGACAAGGCTTCTCTGTTTCCTCTGATGGGCGGCCGCTCCGTCCACCTGGTCAACATGATCCCCGCCCTGCAGTGGGACTGGGGTCACATGCGGGACTATTTCCACTTGCATTACAGCCACATCTGCCCGGCGGCACACTGTCTGCTGCTGTCATTGTGGGACCTGAGGAGGTGCCCTAAGTCTACGTCTCCGGCTGGCAAAAGATACAACGGAGGTAACAGGAAACAAAAAACGCCACCAGGTTGATCTTGGGAGTGTTTCCTTGACGCATCAAAAACCCGCTAACAAATTGCAGGAGATTTCTATGCCTCAATTTACATTGTGGATTATGCTTTATTCATAGGGCCTGGAACTCCTTCTTTTTCCACAGGAATCATCTTCAACCACTAGATTTTTAAAATCAATATTATCTCAAATTTGGTTTCCCCCATAAAGTATCTTGCCATAAACCCCATCTCATCTTGGCAGGGAATATTATTATGCAGAATAATCTTTTTTTAAAAACTTCTTAAGTGAAGCTGCTCCTGAGTTAATATCTTAAATTTTAATTTAGATTTTTTTAAAAAGTAAGAAAGTAAACTAGGAAGTGTCCAGATCACATGGATCTGAAACAATTCTTCCCTGGCCTGCAGTGGGACCCAGGTGCATTTCTGTGGCCAAGTGGGGCTACAAAAGCCCAGAAAAGGGAGGCAGCCAGCCCGTGTGACCTGACACAATCACAGACACCTCACCGAGCAGGGCCCGCAGGGGCTGTGTCCGACTGCGTCAGTGTGACCAGCTTAAATGCCCTCTCTGCGTCCCCTGCACAACTGTCACTACTCAGGCTGCCACTGTCTTCCATCGCAGTGAGTTCGAAGCACCCACTCTGGCGTGGAAGGCCTCTACCCCTGCCCACCGCCACTTCCTCCTCATCTTCCCCAGCCAGACCCTGGCCCCAGGCCCACCTTGGAATGTAACCCTGGCACCCAGTGAATTCATTCCCACCAGGCCTCAAAGTGGCTCCAGTCCTATGGTGGGAAGGTGGTTTGTGGCAAATCCTTGGGGTTTGTGGTCACTGGGGACAAAACTGCTTGTGGGGGAGAGGGCGAGGGAGGGGACAGAGAAGGAGTGGGTGCTGCCGGCTGCCCATGGACCAGGCACTCCCAGCTCAGGGCGAGCGCAGCTCGCCGAGTGCCGTAGCCCAGGTGGGGATGCGAGCACCCTTTCTCTCTCCACATCACCACAGAAACAAAGCTACCCCTGCTCGCCCCAAAACTTTAATGTCCTTGCTATTTTTGACAAACAAGAATAGCTTTGTAAATAGAACGCACAAAAGTCCTGTTGACTTTTCATTGATTTCTAAATATGTGAAAGGCTGGCTCCAAAGGCTGGCTACCTTCACTGCAATACCACTGACCGCCTTCTGCCCTGTCTTGCTCTACAAAACATTCAAGGCTGCTCACAAGAAAGAAAGAAAAAATAAAATAAAATAAAAATATATATATACATACACACACAAGAAAGAAAGAAAAAATATATATGTATATACATACACACATATATGTATGTATATATACATATATATACACACATAGTCAAACAGACAAACAAAAACCTCAGGCCCAGAAAAATGTGGATTCAAAGAAAGGGTTAAGACCAGTGGGCAGCAAGAACGCAGACTGGCGACTCATACACCTGGGCAGTTGTGAACATGGCGCTGGCTGTGGACCTACTGCCCAAGATCAGGGAGCTAACTTGCTGGTCAGTCAGTGGCCCCCACTAAGGATGTGAATGTTGGGACTTCCAAAAGTCCTCCATAATAAGTGCATGTTACTTCCTTAGTCATCTCCTTTAGGTCATGCATTGAGCTAGATTATTGATATAAAAGAAGGTACTTATGTGTAAGGCCTTCTCTTAATAATTCTGGCAAAACCCTAAGTGGGGTAGAGGAGAGCTTAGGGGGTATGTGAAGAGGTGTTCCTTGGGGTCAGAGAGCAGGCCAAGGGCAGGAGGCAGCTTAGGAGAGAAAAACAATGGGCTTTGACTTCAGAGATGACTGAGAGTCACACTCTACCATTTGCTAGCCGCATGGCGTTTAGTCTCTGAGCCTCTGAGACGCAGTTTCCCCACCTGTACAAAAGAGGGTATGACTTTCTTCTTTTGTGATATCACACAATTGTAAGGACCACCCAAGATAGTGCCTGCTCAGACCTGCTGAGCTAATTACTGAGTACCTCGTATGTACGAGACCCAGACTTAGGGCTTTGCCTGGGTGATCTCATTGGAGCCACTCGGCAAGCTCAGGAAGTGAGACTATCTGCAACCCGCAAACCAGGCAGCTGCGCTTTCTCCAGTAAGAGCAGGCAGTGGCAGAGTCGGGGTGCAAACACGGCCGTCTGATTCCATGCTGTGCCCCCAGCCACAACACTGCCCTGCTTCCCACATGGTCTGTGAACAGTGTTCAAATTCTTTCTTCTCTCTCTCTTAGGGCTTGCACAAATGCCTCTTCAGGAAAAGATCTGAGACCAACCTTTCAAATGGGTGCTTCCCGTAGACTATTTGGTCCCAAGGTCCTGGGCATCAGAGTTGTGATTCTTCTTCTTCTAAGAAAAGCAGAAGACATGTTGGAAGAATTAGGACTGTTTTTATCAGTTCCTGAATTATGATATGAGAACACACGAAGAGTCAATAACTTGCTACTGAGTAGAAAATGCTCTTCGAGAGAAATCCCTGAAGCCTGAATTGCCAAAGACCCCCTAGCAGATGCGCTAGCCATCCTCAGAGTCCAGCTTAGAGTCCCCTAGCCCCTAATGCCACCAATTTTCCTTCCTCAGGCCCCAGAGCATTGACTAATTCTGCAGTAGGTGCTTGCTGAGTTGTAGTAGAGCCATGGTTTGAGAGTGCCTTGCCCTAGCCCCGCTGAGGGCTGTTTCTGATGGTAGACAGGTTAGGTATGATGGTTGGGGACATAAGAAAGGCTGGGAACCACTGCATGTTTCCTTGAGCATAATACAGAAGGCAAAAAACATCAGGGCCTTAATTTCAAAGAAAAAAAATCCTTCTTAAATTTAGACTGACAATTATAGGCATGCTCAAGTGGTTAAGAAATAGTAAGTGCTTTTAAGCATGAAGCAAAAGAGAAATTAAAATGTATAAAAGACCTTTAAAATAGATTTTAGGTTGAAATGGCAAATAGTTTTAGATTGGAATTAAATTTTCAACATAAAGGTAAATTTTGATTTTATATTAACAGCACATGTCAGAACCAAGATGATTCCAAAAATAAATTTTCTGGAAGAACTTCGTTTCAATATTTCATTGAAAAATAAGATATATTAAGTTTGAAGATTGGCTTTCAATAACACCAGAAATGTATGGTACAAGAATGGTTCTGGAAACATCATTTAGGTCCCCTGCACTCAGCAGCCTGTCACCTGACAGGACAGCAAAGTGGGAAGGCTCTGCCCCGGACTCCAGACCTCAGCCCTGTCCTCAGTGTCCTCAGTCACGCAATGCGGGTCGTGCCCCTGTTTCAGAGGGTCAGTGTGAAGATTGAGTGAGTACATTTTTGTAAAGCAGTTAAAACAGTGCCTCCACAGTGATATATAATTATAAGTTTACTGATACCTAGATTTATAAAATGCAATTTGTTCTTTTTAAAAAAAGAAAATTGTCACCATTCTTGAAATATCTATTCACCTCAGGTACTGGCAGGTGGGTAGAATACCAAAAGGTTGTTGTTGTTGTTGTTATATGGTTTAAAAAATATTTTAAACACTTTTTAAACTGTATAATGTCATTAATTATCTGCTGTGGTTTCTATATTGTCCTACCATGTCAAACCGTATTTGGACACCAATAAGCTTGGATAAAAATACATTGGTGGAAAATTGGCTCAAAATAGGTGGTGACCCTAATAAGCAGTTTATGTAGTCTGGGTGAGCTACTGACTAGGTAATAAGTCTATTTTTATTTGGCATCGGTACCAATTATCAAGGAAAGGTATATTCAGACACAAATAAAACTTAGCGCCGATGCTGAATTTAGAAGTAAAGTTAATTTCAATAAAAACTGGATGTGGAAAAAGTGAGTATCTGAAGCATAGTCACTCCGAGGCTTACTGGTCAGTGAAAAGTTCCATTCCCAAACCCCAGGGAGAGAAGGGAGGAGACGCACAGGCGGCGCGTGCGGGCATGGCAGCAGCCCCTGCTCGGGGCACACCCGGCAGCCCGGCGGCCGGGCACAGAGCTCGCCTGTCGCCTCTGTGCAGCTCGCCCAGTCAACCACCCTAAGTGCATGGGCGTTCCGTAGGCGCTGCACGTCTGCTTCTGCGTTTGTGCAGTCGCAGCTGTTTGGATGGGGACAGCGTGAGGGAGGCAGAGAAGCCATGTAGGAGGCTGTCGTCGTAACTCAGGTGACGACGGCCCAAACCAGGACAGGCAGGGGAGTGAAGAAAGACGGACAGGGGCTAAAACATGCAGAGCTGAAGGATAAATTAAATGTGAGGCAGGGATTGCAGGAGAGGACGGAAGCAAAGAAGATGCCCGGGTGTGAGTGAGGCCCCTCAGCCAGCACCTTAGCCTTCACCTGGGAGTAGCCGAGAATAAATACGGTGGGGGGAGATGAGTCTATTGGGGCTGAGAAGATCCAGGTGGAAACATCTAGACACAGGCGGACATATGGATCTGAAGCCTGGGAAAGAAACACGTGCCAAAGAGACAGGTGAGGAAGTTAGAACATAATTGGGAATCGGGACAAGCGTGAGCTCGGTTGCTCCCAACACTCACTCTTTAGTCTCTGGGCAGTGTCTCCTTCATGTGTACTTACGTGGATATCTGGACCACGCTGAGTGTTAGGGTTAAGATGTGGTGCCCAGAGCAGACTAAAGCATAGAACTGAGAATTCTGAATTCTGTTTTAAGGAGGTGTATTGCTCCCAAATGAATATTAGCATAAATTCTCCAAAATGTTATGCTTATGGGCTATATACGTGTGTGTATCCATGTGTGTGCATAGTACAATGATATGATTCATTTTATAAAGGATACAGAGATTTATTTATGCTTGAGATTTAATAATGAACACATGCTGAAAATAGTCTATTAAACAACATAATTTACATTATTTTTTTAAAATGCAAACTGCTCAATTAAAGCATTTTAAATGACTTAACACTACTAGCACAAGATTTGAAAGCTGTGAGAAAAGGAATTAGAAAGGGTCTCATTTCAGGTTAAGAAGAATCTAACATCTGATCATTAAAGACAGGCAAACAGGAAAAGAAGGGGAATAACAAGCCTTGGTCACCTGTGCGTTGAGTCTGGCATGGAGCTTGTGGTCTGCCAACCAGGGGTGCTTGAGAGCTTCCCTTGCGCTCATTCTCCAGCTAGGGGACAGTCAGAGGGCGATTAGTAGAGGCGTGTCAGAGAAGACCTGCAGCTGCTGCTCAGCTTCAGCTCTGGCCTCTGCCTTTGGGAGACCAGATGGCCAAATGCCAAATGATGGTCAACTCTGCCAGTTCTGGAACTTGTGCTCTGCATGATGGCACAGGAGGCCATCAAATCCAATTGAAGTAATGACATGGTAAGACCAACAAGACAGATAACTGAAATTCTTGTTAATGTTAAAAACTGAACATCTACTTTCAAATATAAGTAACCGTTCTTGTAATATAACATTTGAGCTTATAAATTTAACTCCTATCAGTCAGTGAAAGAATAAATGTATATTCATTATTTAAAAGCAAAATGCTACAATGATTCTTGATGATTCAGAAGCAATTTATATATCACAACTTTTAATAATAAGTATTGCTAACTTTTGAATTAAGAAGTTTTGATGGGGAAATAGAGTTAATGCAAGTATTAAGAGAGAGACCATTAGATATCTTTATGAGGAAACAATATCCTTTTGGAGCTAACAAAGGTTTATACAATTTTAGAAAATAATATGTAGGAGATTAATACAGATTATATTATATTACATTATGTTATGTTTCTAAGCGCTATGAACTTGTTTGATGTGCTAACATGTATCATATTACAACAGATAACCTTTCAAAATAAAACTTTAAGTGAATGCAACAATCTGAAGTATGCTTCTGAAAACTATCAAAGACGTAGTTTCAAGCAGTCATGAAGCTTCAGTTTGTAGGATTGCTTCAATACAAACTCTTCATCAGATACCAAAGGTTAAATAAGATAACACATAAAAGTGTGCATGTAAAATAGGTTCTTAGTACATGTGGATTTCTCACCCTCCAGAGATCTGATAGGGTCGTTTCCATCTGTTCACTGCCTGGGTACAGCAACGTGCAAATAATAACACCCTTGGCTGTTATTGTGCCTTTCCATTAAGGACAAAGAAAGCACTGTCTGTGAATTGTTCCTCCTCCTCTCAGACTGATACCCCCGCCTGGCTAGGTCCTCCTCTTCCTTTAGGAACTCAGTTCTGGCCTTGTCTTTGTCTTAACCACATTTTTAAAAGTACCTATCCCGTCTATTAGATGGTGAGTTACTAAATGCCAGGACTGGAGTCTGCGCATCTATGCTGAATGCCCAACACCTTTCCTGGACTCTAGCAGCTGACAGAGTAAGGGCTTGACTGAAAGACTCTCCCGTCAGGTGCCGCACCAGACCTGCTCCCATGTCGCTGCTCTGCTCCTACAACACCCTCCTTTCTATTGGTTCCTGGTCTTGTTTATTGATGATAACAAGCCATAAAGATAATAAAACAATAAAGCAAGTATTATTGGCCCTCAAAATCTTAAGTACTATCTATTAATATCATCATATGGTTTGGGTATAAAGCCATTTGAAACAGTAGTGTAATATTTCATGGGTTAATCACAGTGCCCTTCCCTCTCTATGATTCTAAAACACAAGCCCCTCTATTTCAATATTACTCTTTTTCATCCACTGAATTTTGAATTAATGTGATTTTCACATAAGAGAAGATAGAAGGCCATGTAATATATAATAGCTAAGCGTGTGGCCCTGCAGGAAGGCGGACTCGTATTTGAGTCTCAGTTCTGCCACTACTGGTCATGTGATCATGGGAAACTACTAGAATCTCCTCCTAAAACAGTAATATTAATCATTCCTACCTCTTTGAGTTGGGGGTGGGAGTGGGGGTTAAAAGAGATAACGTCTACAAAGCACTTGGGACAGCCTGGCCCACCGTAGGTTCTCAAATGAAATGGTAGTTCAGCGTTCAGTCACATAGAGCCATATACATGATTTGTAGAGGAGAAATGGATCCTAGAAATAACTTCTCCCAAACCCTTCATTTTGAGGATGAGTCAACTGAGGCCCAGCAGGAGTCTATGGTTGCTAGAACCTCATCTTGAGGGGCAGAGGGAGAGAGGTGTCAAGCCTCATGACAAAGCAGTGCTAAATCTCAGTAGACTGGGTTGGGAGGATCAAACCTCAATCCATTTACGGCTTTGCACAAGCATCATAGATATCACCAAGAAGATCAATTTTAAGAATCCTGGTGGTATATGCTGCTTCCTGATGGTCCCTATTTCTACCAGAGCATGAGATGAACTTGGGTTACCTCTTCTCCTTAATCAGGAGCTTGGAGATGAACTCCCGCGCCTCCTCCGAGATATCCTGAAATTCTTCATCCTCTAAGTCCCACCTGCAGGCCAGGATATTGTTCAGCGTCTCCGCGTCATTGTCACCCAGGAATGGGGATAGACCGCTAAGTCTACAGGACATAGGATCCAGAATTAGTGTTTTTAAAACAGCCTCAAACCCTTTACAGACAGGTTGCTTTTTGCTTCTGCCATTTGGAAGTGAGAGGAGGAAAATAACCTAATAATGAAGCAAAATTGTATATTTTGAATCAAGAAAATGCACCCCCACCCCAGTCCTAATTAAAACAACTACAGCAATAGAGGCAGCAGTTATACTCAAATATGAATCTCAAAGAATAGTACAACTTCCTTTTAAAATTGTTTTACAGATGACAAAGTGCTGTCACATACTTACACAGCAAATGCCAGGCAAGTCACCTCTGAAGAGGGAGGCCCAAATGAGTCATTTAGGAGATCAGGGCATGAATTTTTTGTTTTTGTTTTTTAATTATAATACTTTTGGGGCATTAAGTGATATTTAGCAGTTAAAGTGATTAGCGACGAGGACATACTTTACTTTTTCAGATGGCGTGTAGGGAAAGAACTCCCTCCTTTCACCCACAAGATTCAACAGAGCCTCCGAAGCAAATGAGTATGGTTCAGTGTTACTTATTTTTAAAAGACCTAAATTGGGGCTTTTATTCAAAATTGCAAAGCCTCATGGAAGACGCACGGAGCTAGAGAGCGAGGGTGGGAGGGAGGCGGAGAGCTGCTCACAGCATGTAGGCGATCACTCCCACGCTCCACATGTCAGTGGGAAAGGAAACAAAATCATAGTTCACAACTTCAGGGGCGAGAAATTCCGGGGTTCCAAAGTTCACCTTCAGCTTCTCTCTGGGTTTGTAACTGGAATTTAAGAGACAACGTGGAAGGATGGAAAGTGTCAGCCACACATAGTGAAAATTGAAAAGCTGCAGTCGGCAATACAAAGTAACTTCAGCTATACAAAGAACAGCAAACAGATAGACTTTAAAGGAAATCACAAATTTAAGCAATAGTGTCAAAAAGCTGTAAAGTGGTCCTAGGAATTTTACAAGTCGAAATTCATACTAGAAAACCTTAATAATCTGAAACAGTTGTGGGAAAAGCCAAGCCAAATAATTAGAACATCTGAATTATAGAAGATGACAAAAGGAAAATTGATGTAGTCCTTGACATGGAGATGGCTTGAATAAGCCTGTATTAAACGAGTAAACAGGATACCAAGACAATGTATATGCATCGTTAATGTGTTCAATTGTTAATGTGTCTCCATAAACTCTTTGTTCCTTGAACCAGCTTTTATGTGCCAGAACCCTTTGCAATCTTATTTACGCTATCAATATTTTTTAAAAGTAACTCTTCTCTGTACAGATGGAACAAATATAAAAGACTAAGTCAAGCTCTTACAAAAGTTAAAATTAATGGCTTCTAATGTAATAAACTTTATTGTATTAAGTTTTAATTTTTCATATTTTTTATTGAGTGCATCCTAGAAACTTCTAAACACTCAAATCTCAAACTTAGCAAGGTAAGGCTGAATGTAATTTTTGCTAAATTAATTCTAAATGACGGCATGAAACCAAGGGGCATTTCAGATTTATCTTTGCAAAGAAACAGCACCCCTCATGTCCCTTAAATCCATTCGTTCCCCTGTGTTCAAATAGACATACCTTCTGGCCAATCCAAAATCAATAATTTTTATTTGCTTAGCATCCCGATTCACACACAGGATATTCTCAGGCTGCCAGGAGAAAGAGACACATTAGCAATGAAAACAACCATCATTCACTCAAATTGTCCCTGAACCACAACTAAAAATACAACGATGCTCAGGACAAACACATCAGCCCTTTCACTTAGGGGCTGGCTCGTCTGTGTGTGTGTTTTCTCCTTTCATTCTGCGGTGGATGAGGTTGTGGGTCTCCTGCCAACCCTGCGTTACCCTGCCTGTCCTCTCCCTGGTTTCAAAGCTCACCATAGGCATGAGTTCAGGCAGAGGCCTCCTTGAGGGGAGAAAGAAAAGGAGGCTGCTTTAGAACTTTCCAAATGGACAGGAGGAGGACAGCTCAGACCTGCCATCTGCCCCCCTAAAGTTATTAAGTATGAATGTCCCCTTCTTGGAGAAATATTTTCCCAAAGATTTAAGACTTCCAACAGAAACGGCTTGATTCATTTAAACAGCCACACCGAGCATGCACCGCAACGGGAGCATGGGCGCCAGTGTTTCTCCTCGTGCTTCTCCTTGGAAAAGTTGTACATAAAAAAAAGAATGTTCTCTCCTGGTCATTCTTCAGTGTCGGGAATTCCGGCTCTGGCTGAGAGTGGCCTCAATGCCTAAAGCCCTTGACAAAGTTTTCCCCTGGAGTTAGACTCTGGCGGGACTTTGCCAACCTGACAGTCTCAGGGTGAAGGGGAGAGAGCAGGAAGTAGTGTTGCCGCCTGGTGCTCATAGAACATCTTATGAGTGCACCTAAGTTCACTGGGGCAGAAAAACCGAGGACTGGGGAAATTGAGGGATTTGATTTAAAGTCAAGGATACTCATAAAAGAGAAGTAAAGTTTTCAAAGAAGAGTCAAGAACTTTCCAATTCCAGTCCCAACTCTTCTTTAAAATCTGGGGCCATTAGCCGCCCAGCCTTAAGATGGGATCACAGACCCCCCTCCCCACCTGTCTGGGTGGAAAAGAGGTTCCAATGTAATCAGAAACTCAAAAACATTTTATGAAATGACATAGTGTCTCCTCATCAATATTTAATAGTCCATTTAGCATGGACAGAATATCTTCGGAAGCCCTTTTCTAAAATATCTCTAAAGTGGATGTCTGTCAGTAAAAGCCATTTGTAGAGAAGGCAGTACTATGTGGGAACATTTGGTTTCATGCTTAAATAACTGATTGATCATGTATAAAGCTGTCCACTTGTGGAGGAATACTATGGCATCAAAAAATTGGTTTGCAGAATGTAAAGAAATAGTTTTGAGGGCACTTGAAAAGACAATAATTTTTTTTATAATTATGAAATTAAAGAATGTTCATTGAATAAGATTTTCAAAACTGAAAAATATAAAGGAGAACATTTTAAAATCACCTATAATCTCTTCCACAGAATGACAAGTACTGTTAATATTTTGGGCCCTTTTCCTTACAGGGAGCTTTCTGAAAAGCTAATCCTTAACGACCCATCCAGCTGTCATCTTTATTATTGTCTTCGCTTACAAGCCGTAACTAAAACTGCCTATGGCGAGTCCTCAGTCAACGTTACAAAGCCACATGCGGAGTCATTCGACTTATGACAGGTCCTCCCCTAGCTCCCGTTGCCAATCAAATCCCTGCAGGGCTATCTGCAGAGTATCTGCACACAGTGAAAGTGCTCCATGCAAACGTGCAGTATCGAACTCAGTTCATAGCCAAGGGCCTTGCTAATGATTTCTAACCTCTGACTCTGTCATTGTATATACCACTTCCTCCTGCGCTCCTCCCGCTCAAAAGTGAATGGGAAAACAAGGCACATAAATCAAGACAGTGAGAGAAGCCAAGTTATAGGAAGAGAGGCCCATGGAAACTTATTTAAGGAGGCTAAATTTATTTCACTGTGCAACCTCTGGTGACTTGCCATAGATGGGATGTTATGTCGGATATATATTTTACTTTACGTCACTGTCATGCTATGCAAACAGGGAAATGAGAAAATGACTGAGCCACACAGGAAGATGTGCTTTATGATACTTGTCCCAATATGAGACTTGGTCAGAGTTACTGAGAATGAGTCTTTTATTGGTTGTAACCAGGACTATGTACTGTCCAATTCTAGGGACTTGGTGAGAGAGGGGTGAAGGAGAAGGCAATGAACAGGGAGGCAAGCAGGCAGGTGGGCTTCCCAGTGCGCTTTCCACCATGTGCAGCGTGGCCCCGCCCCACCTGCTCCGCAGCATTCAGCCCACCCTTCTATTCCACTCTCCATGGGTTTCTACTCTGTGGTCTAGCAAGCCCATGGAAAATATATGCCCAAAGTCTAGAGCTTCCAAAGACTGTAGGAAAGTGCTGGGGTGCTGGGGATTCTTGGAGATCCGGAAAGGGTGGCTGCCACTAGGGAATTATGAGTTAGCTGAAATCCTCCCACCTGCTGATCCTGAAAATGAGAGGGATTGCCCACGACCATTGTGCTACTGGTGGTGGTGATTTTAATTCTAAATGTTTATGGAAACCCACCATGTAGATTTCTTTAACATGGTCAAGTTACAGGAATCTGAATAGTGTCTCCTGAAGATGGGGCATAAAAATATTAGGGGGAGACATGTTGGGAGTGAGATGAGGGTAAGAACCCTGAATTATATTAATTCCTGAAAATGTAACCAGTGATAGTACACATTTCCTGAGCTGGGAATATCTGACAGGGCCCACTGATTGGGAGTTGGGAAAGGTTTGCATTTCCTACAATGTGAAACGTGCTCTACCTTCAGGTCCAGGTGGAGAATGTTCATCTGGTGCATGTGTCGTATCCCCTCACAGATCTGCTTCATGAACAGGATGGTGTCAAGCTCGGTCAAGTTGCAGTTTTCATCGATGATGCGATCGAACAGCTCCCCGCCATCCACACTGCAGAGGGAAGAGAGTGAGACCCCTGCCGATTCCTTAACCACCACAACATGCCTTGCTGTGGCAGCGTGGTGTGCCCATTCCTCTTCCTCCCCCAAAAGGTGTGTGCACAGTTATTCCTCTGCCTTCTTTTCTATCTCACTTAGCCGATTCTTATGTTGAAAGCCCATGTTCAATCTCATAAATGGAAAGTTTCAAAGTTCCTTTTGTTCAGTGGCTTGAGCTCTAGGGTTGGTCCACATATACTGTTCTCTAAACACACTGAAGATACAGAGGACCCAAGAACATGGGGCAGGTATTCCAAACCCCGACTGAAGTTCAGCCAGGGTTCCATGAAGTGGTTCTATGTGGCCAGTGCTAGGTATGGGAGGCCCCTTCCTCCTTGCGGGATCGGTTCCAAGACCTTAAGTGCCTGAAACTGCAGCTAGTGCCAGACCCTATATCTGCTATATTTTTCCTATACATACATAACTATGATAAAGTTTAACTTATAAATTAGGTGCAGTAGGAAATTAACGACAATAACATAATGAACTAGAACAATTATAATAATATGCCAGCATCACTACTCTTGTGCTTTGGGGCCATTATTAAGTAAAATAACGGTTATTTGAACATAAGCACTGAGATACAGTGACAGTCAATCTGATAACCTAGATGGCTACTAAGAGACAAATGTGGGGGGGTGCTGCATACAACAGAGACTCTGGACAAAGGGATGATTCATGTTCAGGGTGAGATGGAGTGAGAAGGTATGAGATTTTGTTATACTACTCAGAACAGCGAGCAATTTAAAACTTATGAATTGTTTATTTCTGGAATTTTCCACTTAATGTGTTTGGACCTCCTGGTAACTGAGACCATGGAAAGTGAAACCATGGATAAGGGGTATACTTTATTACCCAAAATGCCTCTTGCACAATGAGAAACAAAACGCAAAATGGAAAAAAATGGAAGAGAATCACAATACCAATTCAGAGTTAGTTAGAATTGCAGTCAGCCCTCCATATCCACGGGTTCCACATTCATGGAATCAACCATATTCAACAACAAAAAACAAGAAAAATTAACAATATGACAATAAAAAATATAAATTTTAAAAACAACACAACTTTTTATGTAGCATTTATATTGCATTAGGTATTGTAAGTAATCTAGAGATGATGTAAAGAAAGTGTAAGGAGAAAGTGCGCAGGTTATCTGGATGCTATACCCATTTATATCAGGGACTTGGATATCCTTGGCCTTTGGTATCCCCAAGGGTCCTGGAACCAACCCCCTGCGGATACCGAGGGACCACTGTACTCATTTTCTAATGAACCAGTCATTGAGTTTTTATAAAGGTGATTTTGAGTTGAAGCTTCTTAGCCCTAATCGTTAATAGTCGGGCACGAACTTTGTATTAGCGAATTATGTCGAAATTGAGATATAGCTCAAAAGCCACGTTCCTGTGGGAGGCTCAGGAAAATATTTAAGGGTAGTTTTGGCAGTATAGCTTAGACACAAAGCTAGGTCTGCTTGGCCCCACTACTTCTCATCAGTAATGTCACACATGAGATGTGGAATCACACGTGGTTTCCTGTCTGAAATTGATGTGCTGTGTGGTTCACATGAGTCGGAATCACTGGTGCACCGAGCTTGGTCCTGGCCCCTGCTATTGTGGGACAGGGCTGAGGCCAAGTTGTCAGGAGTGACGTGGGAGAGGCTTGTGGAGGAGCAGCAGGGGACACGTACTACTCCATGACAAGGATGATATCATTCTTAGACTCGAAGGCGTCGTAGAGCTGAATGAGGTTGGCGTGGTCCAGCTGGTTCATGACGCTGATCTCGTTCCTCACTTCCTCCTGAGAAAGAGGACAGGGCATCTTAGTGTCACCAAGACAGGGACGGGGAGGGCTGCCCCCCACGGCCTTTACCTTGTCCTTGGAGCCTCTGGTCTTAATGATTTTGGCTGCCAGCTTCAGGCCGGTGGCTGTCTCTTCACACTTGTGAACCTGGCCGAAGCGCCCCCTGCCAAAGGAGAGGAAGCAGCCCAGCATCAGTCCCTGCCACGTGGACAGTGCACAGTGCTCGGGCATTTCTCTCTCTGAGTTTGACTGAGCAAACCTATGAGTGCCTCTACTGTATCCAGTGACCTCCTAGACGGATATTTGTCAAGATCACCTAGAGGGATGTTAAGAATGCAGGTTCCTGGGCCCTACCCCAGACCTATTGAGGCAGGAATCCAGGATAAGGCCCCAGAATCTGCATTTGCAGTACATTCCTTGGGCGATCCATACACACCCTAAAATTCAAGAACCACCTTTATAGACCTACAGAATCTCTCTGAGTACATATGAGTGTAATAAACTGGGCCTTGTCAGTATCTGAACAATACAGCCTGTGGTCAGGTATATCAAATTATTTTTAGAAACTGCATATAAATAAATAAGATGTAATCATAATATTGTGTATAATACATATAATCAAAAATACATACTATCAAAAATACATATTGCCTATGAGATTTTTGACAGTTTTGTTTGCATATTCTTACCTATGTAATTACCTACAGAAATGCACACTCACAGTTTTTAAATGTGATTTGCTTACTGTGGTTCCTTATTTAGTGAAATAAGCTAGAACATGTGTCCCTGCTCTGTGCGATGGTGGCCAACACAGCAGGGAGCGAGGGAGGACCCCTGACTACACAGTGAACCCAAGGCAAGACCTGTGGCAATTCCAGAGGACTTCAGAGATAGGGTCATAGCAACACTGGACAGACACAGGGCCAGTGGCAGCCACCACCTCCCACTCAACTCAGGTACACACCCGGCACAGAAGCAGACAATCTTGGACAATGACATTGGGTTCCCATAAACATAGCCAAGTGGTGACTTCAATTCCAGCCACTGTTCAAGATGTAGTCTCTACTAGAGCAATCGAGCACAGCCCTAGGCACCTCCCATGTGGCTGTTGGTTAAGAAAGTGCTTTTTCCTTTCCTTAGCAGTGGCCTGCAGAACCTCTGGCCCAGCATGGTGCCCCATTGCTGTCTGACTTTCCAGCTCTCTCTGGTGATTTCTTCTGAAGGGCTTTGAATGCTGAGGCCACTTCCCAAGATTCATGTCGGCCCACCGCACTGACAACCTCGTGCTAACAGAACATGGGAACATGGCAATCAGGGGTGATAACTGGCTGAGAGGCCATGGGGCAGAGGAGGAAGCCCCTGGAAAATTCAGGAGCCTGCCACTGCAAGCAGGTTTTGGGGATCCAGTGATCCTTGGCATGTTGTAATGCAACACCTCTGCCAAAAGCAAAAGGTAAGCTGCTGCATCTCGAACCTCCCCCCACTAAAATGAAGGCACAGCGCCTGATGACGTCTTTGCATCTCAAACCTCCCCCCACTAAAACGAAGGCACAGAGCCTGATGACGTCTTTGCGTTTTGGAGGCAACAACGCACATTAGATTTTGTTTCTCTAACTTATTTGCCAAGTGAATTATGGCTGCCAGGTTTTGGTGGAACCTCGAACCAGAGATGACCAGCAGCCGGTTCGGACTGCAGAACAGCCAAGAAGATTCAGTGGTGCCCAAAGAGACAGAAAGGAAGTTTTAAAGACACCACTGACAAACCTTGACCAGAAAAACAGCACAAACCCTGGGAATTTTTTCAAAGCTTCTTCTGCAAATAACCATTTTCTGTTAGAGAAATAGTTGCTGGCTTGCCACTGAAGTCCCTGCAGACCCAAATACCTCAGACTTGCTTGGCACCAGTTCCTGTTGTGGAATTCGCATTTCTCCCTCAGACTGTCCCCATTGTCACATGGGGCATTCTCTATGATCAGCCAGCTAAGGAAGAAAATGTTCCGATGGCTCCATGTGGCAGAGGGCAGTGTAATATGGAATGGGAAGAAGAAGAAGGGATTTTACAAATATCAACTACATCCCAATGACCAATTGCAGAAACCTGGTCTATAGTAGCTGTATATATTTTCCATTTGTTCGTTGGGAGGTAAATTTTGTACACATGTGGATGAATGTCCTGTTTTTCGCTCCCTATTTTATGTAGACATAGTAACCACAGTAATCTTTATAATTTAGGCTTCGAGTTACAAGATATCATAGGAGGATTGTGAATGAAGCAGAAGAGGAAAACACGTCATTGCCCCCAGCATGAAGATGGTCCCTGATGGACTTTAATCTTCCTTTTTTAGGGAGAGAGTGTGCATTTAGATGTCCCTCAAATAAGTTCTTTGGTAAGCAGAGTCATACATTGAAATTGGTAATATGTATTAATACAGGAACAATATAAATGGGAAACAATGATGCAACAGTGATGAAAAGATTCAGCACATGCCACAAAAACTACGGTATGGACTCAGTTCCACATTCTATGTCCCTGTGCCCACGCCATGGCTTTGGAGAGGGCTAGCCCTTCCAGTGGCTCACACTGGGTTTTTCTCACTCTCAGACATTACAGCATGGGAAGTAAAGTGGATAATAAACACAGAGTTTAGTCACCACAGTAACCTTTCTGGCATCGGTGACAATTTTCAGTAATGGTTAAAATCTCTTAAAATGTTTGTTTATAACATTTCCAGTTCTCAGGCTGAGATCAGCAAACATTTATGAAGTCCCCAGGCTCTGTCTCTTTGGAAACTCTCTCCTTTTGTTGAAAGACTGTTTAAATGATGTGTTACTTACCCTCCTAAAATTTCTGTTTGGCTCACAGTGTAGAAGCTGTTGACTGCTGCTTGCTTGGCCGTCACGATACGATGGCCAAATGGGGCAGGAGGAGCCAGGACATCATCTAGAAGGTGAGAGGAAAAGAAGGGCCATCTGTCAAGCAGTCTGACCTCTTTACAGCAGCAAGCTGGTGCCCCACAGTAAAAATGTGCTCATTTAATAACAAAATACAGTGAGCCATCTGTTTTATTCCAAATGATCCAGGAATACAAATTTTCACTTCAGATTATGAGCTGTGACTCATGACGATATCTGACATCTCAGAGAGTGACAGTGGGAACCACTCAACAATAGTTCATACCTTCTTCCGGCCACTTTTGGAAATGTCAAACTGGTTCAAAATCTCCAACCCCAATACAGTCCAAACAGAGAATACTTCCAAGCCTAAGACCATTTTAATTCAAATATGAGAAATTGTTTGATCCATTGTTTTAAAGAGCCACTAGTATAGTCTGTTATTTTAATTAAAGTGGAGAGAGAGGAATGAAACACTGCTTCATGTCATTGAAGTGTTTGATATTGTATATTGCTTTCCAAAATGCTTTTGAGTTTATTTAAGACACATTTAAGGCACAAAGATGAATTTTTCCTGGCTAGTTGGAAATAAAACACCCAATAAAACTAGGTAAGTGTGTATTCTATAGCTATTAAATTTCTCCTACTTTCCACCTTCCATCTTAAGTGTTTAAACTCTAGTCTACAGTAGTGTCAGTTCTAACATGCATAATTACTTAGTAAGGTTTCTCCCCATATTCTTTTACTTTTCCATGACTGCTGCTGTTAAAATTTGCTTGCCATGAACCTGTTCATTCTTCATTGATTAATTTATTAAGCAGCTACTGCATGCATACAATAAGGATACAGAGGGAGGTGAGTAGATAATAGCTTTGCTTTCAAACATTTACATTTATTTAACATATGTTTCTTGAGCACTTATCTTCTTCCAGGCACTCTGCCAAGTGTTAATATTTTTTAAAATTCAGATACTATAAATCTCCTGGAATCTGATTTGATATTCACCTCTCACGCCATAACTATGCTGAAAAAATGAAGTCATGTGAGAATTCTCTTGGTAGCATTCATTGCTTCAGATTTTAAAAAAAGAAGGGTTGAGTTAAACACACAAATGGCATCAATATGACATTATGTCTCCCGCAGGCTGTTAGACTAAGTGAAATGCAGTTGGAAATGCTTGCTGGAAAAGGTTAAAAAGCCTTAGAAGGCCAAAACAAAAGCCATTTCCTACCCAATGGGGTCCCGAGATCTTGCTCTCGGGAGGTCTTCTCTCGGGTTTTGCCCTGTGAGTTCGTCTGGGTGTGTCTGGCTCCCTGTGTCTTCCTACACTTGTGCTCTTCACTTGTGCCCACTGCATCTACTCTGCTCTTTTTGTTGTCCTCACTGACGGGGCACTCCTCTGTCCCTCTGCGCTTGCTGCTGCCAGAGTGCACTGTCTGTCCAGCGTTCTGGACAGCGGGCCCTGCTGCTGGGCTCCCCAGGAATCCTGGTGCGGAGACGGCCTCCGCGCTGCCGGCACACCTGGAAAGCAAAATCCGGTTGCAGCTCTCAGAGTTTCAAGGAGAAAACTTTCAGATGGTCAAAATTCTTAGAACTAAAGCTTTCTTAAAATGATGTTTTGGTGAAGAGAATGTAAGTTCCAAGATAGAGTTGACCATTTCAGTGTCTGGGGATAAAATGGAGCGATATGTTTCCCCAACGAATCTCTGGGTGTAGACAGCCAGGACCCCAGAGAGTCACCACAACGATCTCGTTGTGACCTGAAGTTATTCCACGGGCCCTTTATAAAAGCAATCATTTTAAAAGTACCCAACTAATTTGGTCTTCACTTGTTTCACCTCCTTTCCTTACAGAAGAAATTGTGACTGCATGATAAAAGCAGCAATAACCTCTCTGAATATTAACAGCAGCGAGAGCAAACCTTTATTGGTGGAAGAATTGACCTCATTTCAGCTTCTCAGCAGCTCCCAACTTTACTAAGCACATTTTTGCAATGATGGAGTTTCTTAGTAATCATTAGTGTTTATGTTTAATTCTTGGGAAATTAAATTTCTCCAAGATTAGGTTTCAAACATATTATTAAAAAATGAAATAAGAATGATGTCTTAGTCCCTAAAACAGACCACACAGGTGTTTTGATGCTCTTTATTCCAAACAGATACCACATTAATTTTAATGTTCTACAAAATTACCTGAATTTGTGAAACTTTGCAGTGGGGGAAGAAAGCCATTCAATAATATACTTCTTAATCCTCACAATATCTGGGAAAAATAGCCAATTTGTCATGTATAATGGAGCAAGTAACATTTTTCAGGTTTAGGTTTTTAACTTACAGATTAATCTAATCATTATTTAATTCTTGACCTTAGTAAGGATGTGTTCAATATTACTAAAAATAAAAACTTTTTATGTAATCTTTAAAAACTATTGATTCCTATGAGGACTATTAATGACCATCTTTGTCTACCAATTGGTAGAAAACTTGGAAAACAATAAAATGCCTGAAAATATCATAGGTAAGAAAAAATAATGGCAAGCAAATGTGACCATGAAAAATACACATAAGTTGGGAAACTGGGTTCTAAGTCATTGCTTTAAAAACTCTCTTCATTTATCCTTTTAATATGGCCTTCAATTGTAATGGCACATAGATCTACGAACAATTGTGGATTTGTAATGCTGTAACCCTACCTTTCATGGAATTGGTCACCATTAGTTTTATCAATGAGTTGTTTCTTATGTGGACATCGGTCAGCCTCTATCTCATTTGCAGCTGCCAATCCACCTTTCTTCTCGGCTCCTCTTCCTCTAATATCTTCCCTAGATATAGAATGAAGCCCATTTTTCTCTTCTTTGAACACTGGATGTTCGTTTTTACCCACAGTGGCTTGTTTATCATCTCCAACACTATCTTCTTCTTGTCTGTTCAGGTTCTCTGTGTATGAAATGTCTTTTCCAACTATATCCTCTCTCAGCTCTATGCAATTCCTTGGAGCAAAATCTTCTACCTCATCTTGACTTTCCATATGATAAATGGCAAAACTTCTCTGAACTAGAGAGGCATTGGTCTTCTCAGCATTTTTCTTATTGAGTTTCTTAACATTTTCCTTCTCAGAGGAGAGTTGATTCTTCTGGGTAGATCTCTCTAGAAGCCACCATAGGACACAAAATATTTTAATGGAGAATGCATGTGATCAGTATAATTTTGGCTCCATATAATGGCACCTCTATCCACATTTCTTTTTATTAGCAGATATAAGCTTTTAAAAGCTAAGTAGAAGGAAATATGACCAATTGACTGACATTTGGCTTCCAAAAGATATTCTAGTTTGTAACAGGTAGGAGCCAACCAAATATAGGTATTCACCAAATAGCACCTTTCCCTACACAGGGCTTTATGAAAGTGTAACTTCTTTTGCACAAGAATGACAACATGATTTTCTAACGATGTTACCTGTGAGGGCTGATGTCCTTTTGCCTTTGACGGGCATCCTTTCTGTCAGGCCGGAGTTTGACCACACTGTCTCACTAGCCTGTGGATACATAAGTGACTGAGGTTACATATTGCATTGGGCGTTTCACCCTCAGCACTGCCAACACTGGGACTGGACAAGCCCTAGCTGCGGGGCTGCCGTGAGCATTACAAGATGTCTGGCAGCATCGCTGGCCTCTCCACCAGATGCCAGCTGTTCCCAGTTGTGAGGGTGCAGATGGCCCAGATCACTGCACATCCCCGGGGGCAAAATCACCCAAGGGTGAAAGCACTCTATTTTATGATTCAAACATAGAAAACCACAAAAATTAATAATAATGTAGAGGGCAGAACAGTCTGAATTAATGACTACAGTATTTGAAATGAACTCACTATTTTCAAAGAATTCTGCAAAACTCTTGGCACTGTTTGTAGAAGAAAGCCCACCTTCATGAGTAGATTAAAGGGTATTGATACTGTGTATGTCACCCTTGTCCTCTGTTTAAGTTGTCTTGATATGGTTCACATATAAATCAAATAAAAATGAGAGGATAAATGTGAATGAGCTCTGTAAACCAGAAAGTGGGAGATGAAAGCAAGCTTTATAAACGGAGCTTTTGCATTGCTTAGAACAGATGGCCCTTTTCCTAAGTAGATAAACATTCTTCTCACAAACCTGGATTCTCTGAAAATTAGTTTGGCAAATCCTTTGCTAATATATACCATATAAAAGGAAAACATTAGCCCGATCCACCCAAATTATCACAAATTCTAGAGATATTCATTATAAATTAATGAAATTGTGTGGATGTGTAGTCAGTCTTTTTCCCCCTCGTTTGAAAGAAAACACAGTTTGCCTTAGGGTGATTTGCAACATAAAACACCAAGTAAGTGCAGAGCATAGATATCAAGACAAATTGCAAATGTGCTTTTGAACAATTCAAAGAGCAATTCCACGGGTTCTGAGCATCTCCATTTTTCAGATGGGACCTTAGAACACAGAGGCATGCTCAGTCAATCTGTGGAAGATCAAGGTTGGACGTTAGAGCCTCAGAGTTTCTATTTTAAGTGAAAGTGCAGAGCTGGCATTTGCACACTTTTCCCTCTGCAGGGAAAACGCCTTCGGCTTCCTCAGGCAAAGCTGGTGCTGCTTCCTCTGTGCCTGCATGGAGCTCAGCTCATACCCCACCTGGCACCCCTCACAGCACTTACCTGAGCTTTTCTTCCTGGCAATTTCACACTAGGCTGTGGGCTTCTAATGGGCAAAAAGACCTGGTCATTTCTGATTCCTTGGTGCTTAGCCAGAGATGGCACATAGCAATACTGATGGGGGGGCAGTGACAGGGAGTGGCATGCCCTGTGTGACTCTGAACAGACTCTGTACCAGGCTCTCTTCTAAGCACTTAGCACTATTAACTCGGTTGCTCCTCGTAACAACCCTTTAGGATAGATCCTATTAACCCCGTCTTACAAATGAAGTTGGGTAATTTCCCAAGGTTATAAAGTCTGGAAATGGCGGAGCAGGGATCCCAACTCAGCTGTGCTCCTAACTACTACACTGTACTCTCACTCTGGAAAAAAATACAAGTATTATAGCCAAGTCACATTATTAATATTTATCAAGATCTATTACAGAGTTGATATCACAGTAGATAAGAAAGAAAATTAAGAAAGGGCATAAAACAAAACAAAAAAATTAGAGTAAGGAAATAAATATTTATTGGTTAAAAGATAAGAATTAATATGGAAGAGAGGAAAAGAAAAAAAGAAATTAGTCAAAGAAGACAGTTTAGCAAATTGTGTTTAATCTATTTATAACTGTCCTTCAACTGTCCCTTGGAAACGAGAACTCTTGCTGCAGCGATAAGCACTGTGCTTCTGGATTTATTAAGTGTGGCCTGAGCATAATGGTAAAAGTGGACGTGGCCTTAATAATGAAAACTGGTGTAAATCAGTCAATTTCAGTCCATCAGAATATATAAAATTGAGAATTTGGCTGTAAGACTCCGTGGAGCGCTGGCGGACCGACGCTCGCCTCTGCAGCCGTCTGAGCGCCGGGGGCGACGGTCTGCGAGCTGGGCTTCAGAGTCCGACTGGGCCACAGGAGAAGCTGCTGGTCCTGAGGACTACAAGAAACCAGCTTCCAAACGGGGCTGTTTTCTTCTTTGTAATTATGTATCATCTATATTTTACCATTTAAATAAGGTAAAAAGGCCTTTATTCCTTGCCAAAGAATATTATATTTCCATTTTCCAATGTAACACTGACATCTAGAGGAACTCTGAACTGAAGAGTTTCCAATAAACAGAAGTTGTATTTCTTCTTTTCTTCCCCAGATAGCAACTTCAAGAACCTTCAATATGAATGAAATGTTTTTATTTTGTATTTCCAAGTTATGTGTAGGAGACACTAAAATAGGAAGCACAAGTCTATAGATATATCTTGTTTGTTGTCCAAAAAAATATGTGTCTTACTGGTTCAAGAGGATCCGACCAGTGCTGCTAAGCTTAAAGTTGCTGAAACAATACTGATTATTCCCAGTTAACGGGATAAAAGTCACATCGGGTTATATTTCTCTGCTGAATTCACAGTGAGCGTGAGCTGAACCTAAGGACTTCGTTTCATTCAAGTTCACTAATTTTTTCATTCACTTAAGAAATATTTATAAATTGGCATGTGGATTACTTTGTAACTATTTACCAATTCCTTTTGTAATAATTTATTATATTAGTGGATTTAGGATGACATAGGGAAGAAAGGCAACATGGGCCAGATGCCCAAGTATTCAAAACACAGGCCAGTTCTCTTCACTCTGTCTGGTTTCCTAGATTGGTCTCAAAGTGGGCTGTATTTACCCAGGAAGTGTCCATAGTAGTCCTTTGGGGAGTGAAAAGGAAACATTATAACTCATTCCTATTTATTCCATTTCTTATGGATTAAATGTTTATGTCCCCCCCAAATTCATATGTTGGAATCCTAATTCTCAAGGTGATGATCTTAGGAGGTGGGGCCTTTGGAGGTGATTAGGTCATGAGAGCCACATCCTCATGAATGGGATTAGTGCCCCTATAAGAACAGACATGATATCTGGTTGATCCTGCCAGTAAAAAAAAAAAAAAAAAAAAAAAAAAAAGACGTGACAGCTTCTCACTCTTTACAAGGAGAAGAAGGCCATGTGTGAACTAGGAAGTGGGCCCTCACTTGATATGCCAGCACTGTGATCTGGAATTTCCCAACCTCCAGAACTGTGAGAAATAAATGTTTATTGTTTAAGCCATCCAGTCTACAATAATTTGCTATCTAGCAGCTTGAACCAAGAAAACATTCTTTTAAATTTTATATTTTATATATGTTTTAAAATATATATTAATACAATTAGACACATATATAATTTATAATTATCTATGATATATTAAATGTTGTTTATAAAAATAAATATATTAGACTGGTTATCAATGTATAAAGTTTGTAAGTAAATATATTGGGGAATGCTTAAAAATCTCTTATCAATAGCAGTACAAAATCAAAATGGTTTGGACACTGTTCTTCTAAATAACATTATTTCTCACATTCTAATTTTCTGAAATATGTTTTGGAGAAGCTTTAGTCTACATAGCAGATTCAAGACCAAGTACATGATTAGAACTATCAATGCGATTCTTGCAAACTCTTTTTCTCCTTTTGCAAAGTACTGCTTCTCAAAGGGCAGGATTCATTGCTCAAGTGCAGTTTTGACTATTTAACCAATTGAAAGTAAACACTTTATACTCTTCTCTTCGTTGGCAATTAGACTGATTGACATAGGATCCAGACCTGAACAGGAGGCAGCACCAGCCCACAGTTGTGCACCCAGCTATCTGGGCATGAGTTCACTCTTGCCCTGTATACTCCAGCCTGTCTCAGGGCTACATTAAAACCTTACTGTTCCTGAAAGCAGCGGAATAACTTAAAGGGAAATTAATTCAACTGGACAAAGCCCCTCTTTCATTCCCATTCAATAAAAATCAATTTTTAAAAATTCAGTCCTAACGTGGATTTAACCTTAAAAGCACAGAAAGGCTAAGAGAGCAGCTGCCTCCTCTGGACCTCAGCAACGCTATGGTGAGTGTCCGTGCCATTGTGCTGTCGGCCCGTGTGTCCGCCTGCCCGCTAGAATACAGACCCTTCTCTTCTCCTTTGTTTCCTTGGCACGAACAAAGGGCCAGGGCTCTAAAAGTGCTTGGTGAAGCACTGTGTGATGAAGGAAAGAAGACCTGCCCGGGAGTGATGCTGTCGGCGTGAGAATGCACAGGCTGCGGCTGCCACGGGGCCACCTCTGATGTGCCGCTGGCACCCACAGCCCTGCACTTGAGTAACTGACACTGGGCGATGGCCACAGCCCTGTATTTTGGATTACAGTTGCCACACAAAATTTTGTCCGGAACATCACCTACGGGGCACGACTAGACTGCGTGCCCTGCGGAAGGACTTCTCTCTCATGTCACTGCTCACGGAGATGCCAGCATGAACACGTATTGGTCATTTTAACCTAAGGCCTAGAAATATCACAACAAAGTTATAACAATTTATAATGACTTTGTTAAACTTTGATTAGGCTCCTAATGGGAGAGAGAAAAATAAATAAATCGTAAAAGAATACAAAGGGGAGAATTTTCAGAAGAAATACTAAAGCTACGTTTCCTTGCCTGAGCATAGAAAATAATTTTAGAGACCGTTTATAAAATAAATCTATTTCTCTTCATCCTCAGCACACACGTGAACTCTCTGTGCATTTAGTGAGGAGCACGCTGCAGTCCCGGCCGCGCGGGCTGGCGGTGTGGGGGCGGGCTCGGGCTGGCCGATTCCGGAAAAAGAAAGTGTCCGCCTTGACCTCGGAGCACAGCAAAAGGACCCTCCAGGGCTGCTGCCGACACTGAGTAGAATCGAACAGTCACCTGAGAAAGTAACCCTGCCAGGAAAACTAAAGCCGAGACGCGTCCACAACCACGTGGACGGTGCTTCATTCAGAAACCAAGAAAACGGGCTCTTCGAGGGTACGGAGCAGAGAAGGGCCTGAAATTAAAGGTGCCGATTCCAGAAAGTCTACTGGGACCATGTGTCAAGTGAAGATACGTAAATAGTCTTACTTTCTCTGACTCTAATATGTAGCGAGCGGAGCCTTGCCGATAGTGTGCTGCCCTGTCCAGCAGCCTCCCGCAAGGCTGAGGAGCGCCCAGGACGGGTCCGGTTTACTTTGTAGGTTATTCCTCATTGACAACAGACTTTTAAATTTAAAAACATTTTCAAGTGTTCTTATCCTGGCAGCCTTCTTGCTATTGCAAAGGCTATGCAAGTGGCAGTTCTGAGGAGGCTTGAGAAGACCACCAGCAGATGGCAGAGACACAGAAAGGGGCAGCCAACCCGAAGCTGCCCTGCCGGCATCAGGCCCAGGCCACGGGCCACAGCCACAGAGCCGCAGGTGCTTGCTCTGCCCCATCCTTCTCTCCAGGCTGTCTAGTTAAAAAAAAAAAAAAACAGTTAAAATGAACCAATCATGAATCTTCACCTAAATACGTGGCTGCACCGGGCGCTCCGATACTGTAGACTTTATTTTTCCCCTGTCCCCTGCCCATCCCCAGTGGCTGAGCAGACCAAAGGCACCTTACAACTGACTCGTACTTTTTTATTTCCTTCCCATTGCCACCTGACCTGTCCTCCTCTAACAGAGAACCCAGAGCCCTCCCACTGGTCACCACGCTTCCCCCTCAAGCTGCTGAGGGCCTGCAGGCTGCCGCCCACCTTCCCCTATCCTGTCCCACCCAGACAAGACTTTGCTCCAACTCGTGGTTCGAAGCACCTGGGCAGCGTTTTAAACTATTGATGCCTGAGTCCTCCCATTAGGGATTCTGATAAAATTGGTCCTGAGTGGGTCCAGGACACTGGTATTTTTTAACCCCACCCAAACCCCACTGACTAGAATGTACTGTGAGGGTTAGGAGCTGCTACCTCGGTTGGCTCCGGCCACTCAGGACTTAGTTTTCTGAGTGCTTCCTCCCAGCCTGGCTCCTGCTGGACACAATTTGGAATGAGAGTAATAACATCAGGATCATTGTTTCTCCCACTCTCAAGGATAGATTGCCCAGCAAACCATTGCCTCTTCCTTACCCCACCCAGGGATATGTGCATGGAAATGATCTAAGGTAGACTGCCCTGGGACCACAAAACCTCCCCTCCAAAAATGACCTATGGGGCATCCAGGGAAGCAGCAAATAAAAATGGCAACATTCCCAACCATGCCTCTGGTCCTCTGCCTGAAATCTGCCTTGCTTCCTGGCCAAAATTTAATAATTGAAAGTGATGTAGGTCCTCTGCTAAAATGGGGGTGAGCAGAGGAGAGAGGGGGACTAAGGTTGAGGAGCAGAAACATCACTTTACAGGGCATAGCATTATTTGTAGCACTTTGCACAAAAGTCTATCTGAAAACCATAAATCCTGGCATGCTTTTGTCTTCTTAGGATTCCATCACCAGAATAGCACCTGAGCACTTCAAAGCCGTGCAGTGAGGCTACTAAGAAATTGTGAGCATGAGCACACATGTGTTAAACCAGATTCAAATAGAATTATAGCTCCTTGTGTTCATTTGCTTGAAATGAATCTTACTTAGTAAAAGTCCTCTTTATACTACACAAGACCAAACCTTGGAATGTTTTCACATGAAGTTTACAGTGTTTTTTCATCACCCAATAAAACTCTTTGATTTCATACTGCTGCAGACAGTTTTAAAAGCGTTCATTTCACATGGTGTTCTTGGTATGCTTTTTAATTTTTATTTTAGGTTCCTTTTTTTTATCACTCCATCTCCTGTCTCCTGTTCTGGGTGTAAATTTAGTTCAGCCTCTCCCAGGAGACTGGCTCCTAGTGGTGGCATATGCTGGCACAGGCTCTCGTGGGACTCAGCATTTGCTAAGGGGAGGTAATTTGTGGTCCCGTGGATTGCAGGGACATTCAGAGATCTGAGCTTTGACTCACTGAGCAAAACATTGAATCTCCTAATGGTTTGCCTTTCTGCACCTTTCCCTGTACAGGGATGCAGCAAGCATATTGCAAAGCAGGGTGGCTTTAAACAAGCTACCTCTGGCCAGGCGCCGTGGTTCATGCCTGTAATCCCAGCACTTTGGGAGGTGGAGGTGGGAGGATCACTTGAGGCCAGGAGTTTGAGACCAGACTGGGCAACATAGTAAGACTCTGACTCTACAGAAAGTAAAAAAATTAGCCAGTTATGGTGATGCATACCTGGAGTCCCAGCCACTGGGGAGGCTGAGGTGGGAGGATCGCTTGAGACCAGGAGTTGGAGGCTGCAGTGAACTACAATTGCACCACTGCACTGTAGCCTGGATAACAGAGCAAGACTCTGTCTTTAAAAGAGAGAGAGAAAAACTACCTCTGAAAAGCAACAAGAAGCTGTAAAGCTCTTAAAAATGTCTCTGAATTTGCAATATGTAATAAAACTCTGTAGATAAAAAACAATCAGTTATGACTACCCTCAGACATTTTGTCGTCTGGTCCCTCCTACCCAAAGTGGGTTGGTGGACCACCAGTGTGGCATCACCTTGGACTTTGTTAGAAATGGAAAATCTCAGCCCCTCCTACTCACCTACCCAATCAGATCTGTGTTTTAACCAATCCCCAGGTGGTTCCTGTGCACTTTAAAATTTCAGAAGCATTGACCTAGAAAATATACATAATAAACTGGTGTGAAGAAGTATTGTATTATATTTCACAAAATATTTGTCACACCTTATGCATCTATTTATAATACATCTTGCCTCCATCCTCAAAGGATCTGAAGAGCTAATGCCAGGCCTGGGTTAGCTCAGAGGGAAGAAGTGAGAAAGCAGAAGGAGCCAGGACAGCGTTCGGCTTGTGTGCACGTCCGCTGGCCGTGAGAGGAGCCTCTGGTGGAGACCCAGCACTGTGTAGAACACCAGTGAGCTGCTCAGATGTCCACAGTCTGATTCTGCCCCAGGGCTCTGAGAAGAGAAGGCATGAACAAGTGTCATGCCTCAGAGAGAATACATGTTAAGGTGCAACTGTACAATGAAAACCAAGCCAAGGATGGGCTCTAGAGAATTAGGAATATATTCTAGCTGGCTCCCAAATGCAAAGGGTACAGGTAGGATTAATACAAGCGCTGTAACTTGGTTACTATAATGGTGACTATCAACTTTACATGGAATAAAAGTAATTTTTTTAGCCCAGTTCATACAAATCGAAAACATAGAAGCTGGAGAAGTGGGGAAGGGATGGAAAAAGGGGATGTTGGTCAAAGGGCACAAAGTTTCAGCTATAATAGAGGAATAAGTAACGAGCTATTACACTGCATGATGACCACAGTCAATAATAATGTATTGTATATTTCAAAAAAGAATAGATTTTAATGTTCTCACCACCAAAAAATGTTAAGTTGGTGAGGTGATGGATATGTAAACTGGCCTGACTCTAGAATGTATACAATTGCATTGTACCCCATAAATAGTTAATATTTGTTAATTAAAAATAAATAATAATAAATTTAAGTGCACAGATAGTACATAGCCTCTAACACCTTTTCATTGTCTGTATTTTACTCCTGAGATGCATTTAAATCCTCAATTTATGAAGAACACGTATATCTTCATGTTTTGTCTCATTATCTTTTGTTCCATCGTGGACGTGCAGGGAAACATTCAGCTGCCATTCTGGTACCACGCCAGTTACTAAAATATGGAAATACTTCCCATGCTGATTGGTAAATAGGGGATGTCCCAGGTCCTCCAGGGGCCTCTCCTACCTCCCATCCTCACCACCTGCTCTGCCTCAGGACCTTCACAAGACCTGTCACTAGAGGATCAGTATCTGGCGTGGCAGGGGGCTTCAGGGCACTGTGACAGGTGAGTGGCTGTGCGCTCCCAGGGACCACAGAGTACTGACCAGGCGCATGAATGTGATATGAAGGCACGTGCCCATAGCAATAGGCTGCTGGACATGAAATTTTCAATATTTAGATAATAGCTTTCTATTATATGTACAGTATCCCTGCCAGTTAATTATCAGTAGGAAATTGAGAAACGTGCTTTGAAAGTCAGGGAGAGAGCTATAGAGGATGAGTGAAGAAGAGGTAGGGGAAGTTACTACCTCCAACACCTCTGCCTGCCCTGGGCCCTGGGCCCTGGGCTGGTGGTCCTGAAGTTTATAAAGCTCCTTTCCCAAAGAAGCTAATCAGTAGGTCTGGCTTGGAGCCCAAGAACATTTTCACAAGCTCCTTAGTGATTCCACTGCAAGCAGGCAAACACTCCCCTCCTGCAGCCTCCTCCTGAAAGAGGAGTCAACCTTTCCTCCACCTTTGCCAGCCATGCATTATCACATATTTAGCAAACTGTGCTGAATTATTTGTTTGCACGTCTGACCTCACCCAGGCATCTCAGTGCCTCTAGCTCATGGCAGACTCTGCCTGACTAATTCATTCATAGATTAGTAAATCAGGGGCTGGGGAAACAGATTCCTGGCAGTATTTACTGAACATCTCAACCACCTTCTAATGTTCTTGTGAGGACTGCCATAGCATGCCCCTTACTATGTCCTCCTTGGTGTCAGGCTTTGATGTCCAGCCCCCGGACTCCTGCAGCACCTAGAATTTCCCATTTTCACAGAGGACAGTTTGTTGTCCTGTGCCTCTGGGAAACATGAGGCCTCTCAGACTTTGCAGGAATTCGAATGTTCCTGTCACCAATAACATCTGAACTCTGTCTTCAGTGTGGTTTTTGAAGTAATTTACCAGTTGACCACTTTCTCAAATTTATTGTACTTAAAGTCAGAACATGTACTGTACACATTCATTTGCTTAATCTGTGTGTGTGTGTGTGTGTGTGTGTGTGTGTGTGTGTACTTCTGCATTGACTGTAACTTCTTTAACAGGCTTTAACACATTAGCACAGAAAAATACTTCATGAATTCTTTTGATAGCGGGAAAGGAGAAGAGGTTAGCGATAGGTATTGTTGCTGCCCATTTTACTTTATTATGATTATGGAACCTCATTTTGCAGAAGGCAAGAGCAAGCTGCAGCTATTTCCTTTGGAAGGTCTGATTAAATCTCTTTGTACATCATCTAGCCCAACACGAAATCAGGTGCTAAACAATGCCTTTGCATCTTACTATTGAAGTCCTTTACAATATTTCTAATAGCATTTAAGTCACCATTCTAATGACACATTAAATTCATCACTCTAAAGTCCCTTCAGCTCTACAGGTCCGTGGAGCTGCGGAAGCTGGAGGGAGGCTTGGCACAGCTCAGGAGCACGCTCAGCAGCTCCCCCGACTGCAAGAACCCTTCTCCGGGCTCGGGTATCATCGCTCTTGGAATCTATCTTCTGTTCTGATTATGATCCAGTAGTAACCAGATTCCTAAGTAAAATTGTCTTTACGGCAGACATGGAAAAGTAGCATGCTTGTCTGGTTGGTTGAGTGCCATTTATTTATTTTTTCAGTTCTTCCCAATTTCTTAGCCGGGGAGGACTTTACATGGAATGTTACTAGGTTCTTCCCATTGCATTAGGAACTGTCGACGTCGAGAGTTCCACTGGGAACTTCACCAACAAAGTTTCCCATTCCCCTTTCTGCGAAGGGAAGGTGTGGGGGTGGTGACGGGAGTCGTCTTAGGATTTTCTAACGGATCTTCTCAAGCATGGCTTGGAGGTATTAATCAATGATGCAGGATGTGGGTATTCACAGTCTGACATGTAAAACGAGTCTCTCCAATCCAACCATGGCAATGAGCCTGTCCTCCTGCTTAAGCAAGGAGTTTTACTTGCTGATTCAAATAAGAATAGCAATCTCTTACTCTTCACGGCAGGAAATTACTGTTTTAACAAACAAAACCAAAATCTTGCATTTTTTGTTGTGGAAATCAGCTATTTTCCATGTTGGCTGAAGATAGAACAAGACAGAATCTAAAAAATTAGCTTAGATTTAACTCCACAGATTTAAATTCAATATTAGAAAGAAATTAAGGTAGTGGAAGGAGTATACCTCCCAACCCATGGGAGGTTGCTTTATATTTCCAATCATAGAATATACCACAAAAGAACATAATATTTTAAAGGCTCAAAAGAAGATAAAGGGAAAACTTCTCAAATCACATCCACTTGAATTTAGAAAAAACTTTTAAAGAGTACATAGCACAATCAGCCCAACTAGAGATGAGAAAGTGAAATTCTACCTAATTTCACCTAATTATAGGAGATTTTAATAATGTTTAAAATGTTTCTGCCAAAAGGGATGACTGTTGATAAAACTTTGTGATCTTTGCCACACACCTTCATCCTTAAAAATGTCATGGAATGTTGCAGTTTATGACCTCTGTCTCTATATTCTCTCATTAGACACCCAACCACCACAATGCATTTTCGAATGCACACACAGTCCTCAACTTTCCATTTGTTGTTGTTATACACTAGTGATCAGTACATCACCAGTCAAGTTAACTCTAGGTAGGAAAAAAACACACAAAAGAACACAGGAAAATTTTGGAGGTGATGGCTAAGTTTAGCACCTTGATGTGGTAATGGCATCACAGGTATATGCATCTGTCCAAACTCATCAAAATGTATACATTAAGTACATGCATTTTTTTGCCCATCAATTATACCGCAATAAAGGCTTTAAAAAAAAAGATATAATAATGAACAGGGTTAAGAAAACTATATTAGCACCTGTGGTATCTGCTGAGACACTTTAGCCTTAGGCTAGACAGCGCATGGGGGTGAGGAGGCTGCTTACTGCCTCGGCTTGGAGGGCCCCACTTGCAATTCTCCACAGGAGGAGAGAGAGCAGTAACACACTCAGCATGCACAGGTATTTCCACAGGAAGCAAACGGCGAGGCAGACTTGTTCTTCTTCCTTCGTGGAGACAGTTTGCTGAACTTCACCCAGAGCAGCAATAAATAAATGAATGCCTACGATGAAGCGACAGCTGGCCTCTGCAGCAGAAACACACACTCTCGGATGGAAAGTTCAATTAAGGGTATTCCAAGAGCAGAATTAAAGTCTGTTTTCAGTTAGGAGCCTCATATATAACTGCTCCATCTGTGTTTACTGCATACAGCTGCGCCTTGCTCAAAGTGCTTAATGAACTTTTTCTTCTTTGTGAACGTTGACTTACACACAAAGGTGACAACCTAAAGTAAGGATCATGAGAAAACTACCTGCATAAAACAACATGGGACAGTATATGTTTTCTCTTTCTCTGTTAGCTGAGCAGTGTTACATACTTCATACTCATGTTCTAAGCTATTTCATCAAATCTCAGAAAATAAATCTGAACTGTGAAATGAGAAACTGCTAAAAAAAAAAAAAAGTAACATTCCCAACTATTCTGGTCATATCTCATTATTTTCATGTATTAAAATTTAGGCCATAGTATAAATATACTTGAATTTCACATTTAATGAGATCAGTTCAATTTGGCATTTAACAACCACTGTAAAATTTTTCATTTTGATTTAATTCAGTTATACAGCAATATATTTTCAAACTGATCTCATTATTGGTGGAGCTCATTTGCACAAATACATAACTTACTATAGCGACATCAGTCAAATCTGAACATGAAAAGTTCTTCACACGCCATTACTTTGCTGTAGTTCATTTTCTGTTCACTGCCACAAAATTAATCTCATTGGTGTAAACTTATCCTAATAGAGTACTGTTATTTAAAAATAAGTAAGCTCAGTTTCCAGGTAGATGATACAAAAAGTGTTCAGCCCATTTTATGACTTTTACTATTCATTAGAATCACCAGAATTTTTCTCCACTAAAAGTTGTGGCAATAAATATCAAAGTCAAATATGGAATTTCTTTTAATTGTAAAGAACATTAACTAAATAAGGATTACAACTCCTATGAAAACCCACATTCTGTGAAACGGGGACTCCAGCTGCAAAAAAATCCTCAACTCAAAATCCTAAAATCTGTATTTTCTTTCAAGTATTTAAATAACTAAGACTAGTCTATTATATAATATGGATATATATTTTTAGTGAAATAGCATACCATTCATATGCATCATTTTTCATTAAAATATTTAATGAAATATTAAATATTTCCATCAACACTGACTTAAACAAATTCACATTCACAGAGTATACAGTACCTTCCCCCTGTATAATTTAATATCTTTATTAAAATTTAAAAATAGAGATTTTGATAGTATGAATATCAACCTTATATGGAAACATATTTCTCAAAATGCTGTTTCATTTTAATACTTAGTAATGTTAAAGTCAGTCTCCTAAGCTCAAGTAATAATCAAAGAACACCAGCTCTAAAATAAAAGTTGGACAAGTTGACGGTAAATCTACAAAACATACTTGAACTTAGGAATAATAAAAATGTGTGCTTCTGAGCAATATTCCTCAATGAAAATCTCATTTAAAAAATGTGCCTTTGATAATTATATTTTGTTACATCCTCCTCCAACAGTTCCATGAAGGATTTTTCAGAGTATATCAAAGAATTGATCTTTACTCATCAAAGTTCAATTTCACAGATTTGCTATACAATGTAGACTTCATTGTCATGTTTCGCTACAGAGGAAAAAAGTCATGGCTCACCTCTCCATTTCCTCTGCTAACAAAGCAGAATTATCTAATCTCAAAAAAAGTACATTTACTTTGACTTAAACCATTAGTCTCATTAGTGTCAGGTAGCCCAGACAAAAATCAGCTACCCCTAATGAGCTTACGGATTCTGGCAACTGTCAACTCCTCACAGGGCTGTTGTTTTGGGTATACCCGGGACTATATGTTCCAGTTCACTTAATCTTTTGGCTGGTTGCTTTGGACTCCAGCTCATAACTAAAAGTTCTGGTTCCCATGAAGGAGCATGGGTCCTTCAATGCAGAAGTCTTTATATTATGGGAAAGCCTGAGTTCATCTTCTGGCTTCTAAATCTCAGTACATTTTCTTACACAGCTCATATCCTTGAGAACGCTATCTGATTTCTTGCTAAATGAAAACCTCTGATATGGTGCTATTTTAAAAACTCTAAAAAGTTTAATCTCCCTTCTCAAGCCATATACCTATTATATTTCAGATTGTTCCCATTCTCTTAGAAGATACTCTGACTTCCTCAGCTTCATAATACAAATTGACTGTGGCTGCTATAGACTTTATCCTGTTAGTGGTAGTCATCATTCACGCTGAATCAGAAACTCATAGCTATCGGACATTTCCTCCTGCTTTGGCCATGGTAACCCTATACCAGTCTCCTGTCTACTAGTCTACCTGACATCTGTGAGCACTGAACTGAGACTCATTCCTCTTGAAAAACTCATCAATCCTTTCAATTCAACTCCATGCCAATCATTCCAAAGTTCTGTCTTTATTCCTAGAATCTGCTGATTACTAAATCTTAATATTTGGTCATGTTGTAAGGATTTTGAACTCTACATATCACAAAGAAAACATCATCTTATGTCAACATCTTACACTCCAAACTGGCCTGCCTTCCTGTTGTTCCAATTTCTGTCAATGATGCCATGAGACGTGTGTCTTACTCAAGGATCTGCCTGTGACGTGTGGGGTCCCACGCAAAGCAAGACAGAGCCAGATCTGTGCCTCACACCCTCCCATGGGGTGCAATTCACAATGGAGTTTCATCCACTTTAGAATTCAAGGCCACGGCAAGCTCCAGGGTTTAGACACATGAACGGCATCCTGAATCCAACTAGTAAGCACAACACAACAAATGGGAAGCCAGAGAAACATTGCTCTGAAATTCTATTTTAACACTGACTGGTACATTTGTCTCTGGCAACCTATGTGGTTCTAATGTTTAGTCAAGGGTTGAAAGTGGTTGCCCTACAGTTAGCTTGCTAATTGATGTCCTATCCATCTAGTTCGCAAAGCTTGTTTTAAGTGGAAAGTGAATCCTGTAGCCCCAGCCAAGATTCCTCTTTCAGGTTGGGTTAATATGGGTTTAATTCACCAAACTTTAATAGCATGTGTTAGGAGGTGCTAGGATTCGACAACACAGAAATAAACAAAAGATTGTTTCTGTCCTCAAGGAACTAACAATCCAGAGCTGAAATAAAATAAGATCTTCCACACTCAAATATATATTTAATTAAAAATAACAAATTATTTCTTTAAAATATAAAAATATTTACCTAAATAATAATTGGCCATTGTGACATTTCTGTTTGTAAGAGAAGTCCACTTGGAATTAGACTTATAGAAACAAAACCCCCTTAGATGGAGGTATCAAAAATACATTCTTAAAAATGAGCAACCTTTAAGTACTAATTTAAACCTTCCCTCCTTATACATTTTCTGGCACTGAATGCTGCTTCCAGTTTTGAAACATGGCTCACTTCTGCTTTCAGCTGTCGTGTTAAAAGCTCTCAAGCCATGTGCTTCCTAGGAGATTAGAAGCATGGCTTTTAGTATTCTTTAAAGTTGTATTTAGGAGGTTGAACAGGATGAGACTGAGGAACAAAGGGCTTCGTCATAGCACAGACTGTTTTATAGTAGTTTATAGTATTGTAAATAATTTATTCCTAATAATGTCCAAGGTACTGAAATCTGCCAGCCTTTCTTTTTTCAAATCAGTGGTTTCAAGTTTATTTTTTAAATAAAGTTTCTTGCACTCACTTGTCTCCCAGAGTGTTTTCTTGAGTGGACCTGTGGCCTGTCTGCTGGACTGTGTATAACTGCACACAACTGTGGACTTGGGTCCAAGAGGGGAACATCACCCTCTGTGTGCACCACAACAGAAAACACGTCGAGAGCCACCACTCCAGGTTCATATCAATCCATTAATTAATACGTATTGAGTATGGTTCTTTAACCAACCACAACTTCACCCAACTGTTGTTACCCAGTTTACATATCTCTGAATTTTCCACAAGGACATAAGAAGACACTTAATTGCAGAAATTAATATAAATCATGGTATTACCCTCATCAGCTAGTTTAGTAACCATGGAGTAAAGGGAGTAAGTCCAGTGTGACATTTTCTTTCTTTTCTTTTTTTTTTTTTTGAGACAGGGTCTGGCTTTGTCGCCTAGGCTGGAGTGCAGTGGCATGATCATAGCTCACTGTAACCTCGAACTCCCGAGCTTAAGGAATCCTCCTGCCTCAGCCTCCTGAGTAGCTAGGACTACAGGCACATGCCACTGTGCCTGGCTGATTTTTAAAATTTTTTGTAGGGATGAGGGCCTTGCTATATTGCCCAGGCTGGCCTCGCTCATAGCTCCCGACCTTCCAAAACTGTAAGGATTACAGGCATGAGCCACTGCATCTGGCCTGACATTTTCTTAGAACACAGTCACAAATTATTGTTAGTGCTCTGCATGTGTTATGTATTAGCACCCCCCTACCTTCATGCTCAGGTGGCTCCGTATCTTAAATATTCTTAGCTACCAGTTACTTTCAAATTTTCTCATTAAATGTTCTTGCCTATGGCTTAGTAGAGATGAAATGAAATGGGGGGAAGGGTCTCTTTTTCTTTTTAGACTTTGCATTACTATGACACAGGAGGACAATTTTCTGGTTATTCAGCATGAGTTTTGCTATGGGGTGTCAGCCCCATGGAATGGCCATGACTGTGCTCCAATGTGCTCTTACAGGGCAGCACTGGCCACCTTCAAATCACAAAGGTGACTTGGAAGGGCATCTGAGACATGCATTTACTATGTAACATTATTCACTAATTGGCAACAACTTTTAAGAAGGTTAAAGTTGGGTATCTTTGGGTAAAAAAATAATAAATAAATATAATGAATAAATAAAATAATAAATAAATGTAATAAAAAATAAAATTTTTAAGGTATATAATTTTAAAATAGGCTCTAAGGATTTCATTCAAAAGAGCAACATACAAATGATAGATGTTTTTTAAGAATAACTAACTCTTTCCTCTAATCATGGCATTTTTGACAAAAGACACTCTATAAAGGTGTAAATCATAAAAATACAAGTTATACACTACGTAGGTAAATATATATCGAAGTGGGGCTTTCTCGTGTCCTGTTTTAAAAGCAGGGGAGGTATTGCTGTTAACTGGTTTGTTTAAAGAGAGCATCGCCATGCTCCCTCTGATACTCACCAGGACCTAAAGGCCTTGAGCGCGGGCCCTCCTCTCCCTGTGGAAACAGCTTCACAGCGTCTAGACTCACACTCAGCAGAGGCCACCTGAGCTAACAGATGGCCTCTGTGGAGAGAAGCCACAAATCTAAGCTGCCCCTTTCCTCTATCTCGGGCAATCACGGGCTGTGCTCACGAGCTCCCACGTGCTCTCTCCGACACGCGGGTCCTACCTAGCAAATTCCAGAAGATGGACCAGGTGTGGGCTGGCTTTCCCAGACCTGCGTGTCTGTGTCTGGCCATTTACACTCAAGCAGAACCCAGCAGTCATGCAAAGCACATCATCAGTGACGCAGATTTCAAGTGATCTCTGGCCTGGGCTAAGCAGAGCAAGCATAGTAACAAAACTCAGCAAATTCCTTAGCCTATGCTTTGTGACATTTGTGTATTGAGAGGCTGATTTTAGTGATCATGAAAGTGATACGCGATAGTTTCTGAACTTCAGCTAAGCAGAATGAAACAGACTGAACCTTTAATGGTTTTGAGGTATGCTGAAAGAGAACCCACTGAGGCTCAGAAGTCACAGAGCTGGACTCCTGCCCTGGGCTTCACCCACACTTCATGGAGAAAGGCCCAGACACATGCCACTTTGTGCCACCATGCAACAGAGCCCCTTGCTACAAGCCCTGAGAGGCCCTGAGGACAGCAGGCTGTTCCAATCCATGATGCTAGCTCCTGGCTGGGGTCATCTCTATCAAAAACAATTACTGACCTAGAGCCAAGGTGCTGGGTTCTAGTCCCATTTCTGCCACCCAGCCGTGTGTCCTTGAAGAAGGCATTTCATATCTCAAAGACTATGCTTCCCTCTGTCAAATGGGCATACCTCCCACTAGACCCGAAGACTATCATGAGGGTTAGAAGCAGTGACAAATATGAAAGTGTTTTTGGAAAAAGGAAAGCAGCATAAACACTAGCTCGATTTGGTCTTTTCTTGATCAAACATTTTCAAGTTCTGTGCACACAGAGCAGTGCGTGGAATCCTTCCTCCACTGCCAAAAAGAAGGTTCTCCATGTGTGTGTCTCAGTATCGAGTCTTTGTCACTGCTGCAGAAATAGGAGTGTCCATGGGTGACCCTGACATTTGGAAGAACACTCTCCCTTTTACATAACAGGAAACACAAAGCTGCCACTGGTATTATGTTAGAGGGAGAGAGTTCCCTACCCCATTAGTCAGGACAAGACTTAACTGTTAGAAGTTCCCTGTGGAGGTCACCAAAGGCCAGCAGAGCCAGGTGGCACAGCCAGTACCGTTTAAAGGTTGTATCCCATATTTAGGCCTAAGCATAGGCTGGAAATTTTCCCCTGAGCTACCATCCAGAAGAGACACTGGCTTTGTAAAAATTCGTCTTTAAAACATAAATAAGTCATGGCCACTCCCACTCAAAGCTAGGATGAAGAATGATTTTTCTTGGGTGAAAACTAATACAAGCCAAAACCACAATGAAATACCACCTCACATCCATCATGATGGCTAATGTCAAAAAAAAAAAAACAAAAAAAACCTATGACAAAAAACCTCAAACGGCAAATGCTGGCAAGGATTTTGAAAAATTAGAATGCTGGTACACTGCTGGTGTGGTGGGCATGCCAAATGGTGTAGCTGCTATGGCAAACAGTATGGAAGTCCCTTTAAAAACTACACATAGAACATGACCCAGCAACTCCACTTCTGCATACACACCCACGAGAATGGAAAACAAGGACACGAAGAGCTATCTGTACACCTATGTGCACAGCAACATTATTCCCAATAGCCAAAACGTGGACAGACACAGGGGTGCTGGCCGATGACGGATAACAAAATGTGGCACATACACACAACAGAATGTTATTCAGCTTTGAAAAGAAATGGAATTCTGACAGATGCTACAATGTGGGTGAACCGGAGGGCATTACACTAAGTGAAATGAGCCAGACACAACAGGATCAATACTGATCCCACTCATATAGGTACCCAGAGCAGAGACGGCAAGTAGAATAGGGGTTGCAGGGGCTCCGGGGACGAGAGGGAATGGGTAGTTAGTGCTTCGTGGGGAAAGAGTTTCAGCTCTGCAAGATGAAGAGTTCTGCAGATGGACAATGGTGATAGTTGCACAATAATATGAATGTACTTAATGGTAGGTATACTTAAAAATGGATGAAATGGTAAATTTCATGTTATGTGTATTTTACCACAATTTTTAAAAAAATTCACAAAAGCTAATTTCCTCTGTGTTGTTGTTTGGAACCTTTCTGAGGAGAAAGCAGGCTGATCCAGACAATTCTGGGCAGAGTGTGGTGTTAAGACTTCTCTGCTGCATGAGAGGCAGGTTGTATATTTCTGGGGAATTCAAGGAGAAAGGAGTATTTCTATAAAGAGCATCTGACTCAGAGCTGATATCCAAGAATGAGCTAGTCCTGCCTCAAGTGTCCAGTTCACAGCCAAGGCTCAAAATCACTAACAAATATGCTCTTCTCAGGATCACACACGCAGAAATTCTTGCTATCTCCCATTTCTGAGAGAGGTGCCTATTTGTGCCATTTGGAAAATGAAGGTGTTTTCCCCGCCAGCAGAGACAAAATGTTTACACAGTCAAAGGACTCAGAACATGTGTGAGACTCCAGTCCCTTGGAAAACCCAAGATTTATAGGCTCTGTTCTGTACCAGCCCAGGAGGCCATGGCTCCTTGCACATGCCACCACCCGGGCCTCCAAGACTGCTGCCAGAGGACTTCTGAGCCTGCACACTCCGGTCAAAGTGCTCCGCTCCTTTCCCACCTTTTTCAAAACAAACAAACAAAACTCCAGTAAATGTTTCTTTGTAAATGCAGAATAACACAAACTAAAGGAAGAATCTGTTAGTGATTCTGAGCCTGTGGACAAGCACATTGGTTAAGACAGATAATTATCTCTCTCCTTATCTCTTTCCCACATCCCCAAAGGATCTGAGGTTATTACCCCATGGTCAGAGCAACTATTTTTATGTACACAAAAATCAAAGGAATGTTCAAGGTATCATAGTTAACCAGTATATCACAAATCATCCATTCTGGGGGTTTTCATTTTTCTTTAAGTTGAAAATAATCTCCTTTAGACCTGTATGCACTCTAGCCATGAGCAGAATTTGTTTAAGTGGGATCCTGTTTGGATAAATCCTTTAAGGAAAATCCATATGTGCTGGTATGTGCATTAAAACTTTTGGAAGAAATCAGAAGTAGCTATTAACAGTGTTTATTGTGGAGATAGAAAATTGAATTGGGGCCATAAAGTACTCTCTCTTCATTTTAGTTTTCTGTAGTTTGAATTTGTTACAACATGCTAGTACATGTGTGTATGTATTCATTCATTCATTCATTCACTCATTCAAGATAAAAGTTGGGTATGCTCAGAGGAATAAGATACAGACTTGACAGAAAATTCTTTATAACCTAGTAGGGAAAACTGACACATGCATTGTTAAAATAGTGACGGTGATTGTACTGTAATTGGTTAAAGAGCCTGGGTTCAAATCCTGACTTGGCCATTTCTTAGCCATGTGAATTTGGGCAAGCTACTTAACCTCTCTGCCTCAATTTTCATTTGTAAAACAAGGATAATGGTGGTTCCTATCTTACAGAGTTCTGTGAACATTAAATGAATAAATCTATGAGAAGCACTTAGGACAGTGCCTGGCACACAGTAAGCTGTCAATAAACGTCTGATATTACTACAGTAGGAGGGGAGACAGACGCGACACCAGGAGAGGAGGGATTCTTCTGTCTGGGCCCTGGGTTATCAAGGCTCTAAAGGAGAGATGCTGCTTGAGCTAGGCCTTAACTGGTAAGTAGGGCTTTGCCGGGTGGAGAGGAGGAAAAGGACATTGCAGGAAAAGGGAACAGCAGGAGCAAAGGCAGGTTGGTATGACCACCAGGTCAACAGCCAGTGCAGGCAGGCGAA